ATCAACAAAATAACAGCAAACCAAATCCCACAAGATATGGAGAGGATTATATACCAAGATCAAGCAGCTTTTATCCCAGGAAACTTAGGTGGTTTAACATTTGAAAATAAAGTAATATACAATATATTAATAGAATAAAAGGAAAAAACTACAAGATAATCTCAAGAGACACAGAAAGAACATCTGACAAAATCTATAATAAAAACTTTCAAAGAACAAGGGATAGAAGGGAATTCCTGAACCCTGATAAAGGGCACCTACTAAACACCTACAGCTAATGTCATAATAGCATAAGGCTAAATGCTTTTCTCTAAGACTGGGAATAATACAAGCATGCCCATTCTTGCTTTGCTTGCTTGCTTGCTATTCAACAGTATACTAGAGGTTCTAGTCACTGCAGTCAGCAAGAAAAAGAAGTAAAAGGCATCCAGACTGAAAAAAAGTGGTAAAAATATCTCTATATATAGGAAACATAATCCAGGATAGTGAAAAACCTAAAGAATCTACAAAACCACTAGGAGAACAAATAATGATTTCAGCAAGGTCACGGGAGACAAGATCAATATAAAAAAATTAATGGTATTCCTATATACTAGTTATAAACAATTCAAAAATGAAACTAAGAAAATAATACCACTCACAACAGCATAAAAAGAAGAAAATGCTTAGGAATAAATTTTGCAAAGGAAGCACAAGTCTTATTTATTGAAAGCACAATACATTACACTAAGAGAAATTAAAGAAGATTAAATACACTGGAATATTGTTCAGCCATAAAAAAAAAAATAAGGAAATCCTGACGTTTGTGACAATATGGATGAACATGAATGACATTTTGCTAAGTGAAATAAGCCAGACACAGAAAGCTAAATACCCTATGACCTCACTTATATGTGGACTCTAAAAAATCACATTCCAAGAAGCAAAGAGCAGAAGTGCCAGGGGCTAGGGAAGGGGGATGGAGGGTAAGTGGGGAGATACTAGTCAAAGGGTACAAACTTCAGTTAAAAAACAGGTAAGTTATATTTGTCACTAATGTACAACATAGTGACTAGAATTAATACTACATTACATATTTGGAATCTACGGATAAAGCATCTCTTAGGTAGACTTAACACACACACACACAGTTAACTATGTAAGGTGATGAATATACTAGTTAGCTTGATTGTGGTAATAATCATTTCACAACATGTATGTATATCAAATCATGTTGAACACCTTAAATATATATGATTTATTTGTATTTATTTTTGTTAGTTATGTCTCAAATAAAACTGTAGGGGCTGGGGGGAGAGAACATTTCAAGCATACTGGAAAATTTCTTATAAGTCCCAACAGTAACCACCATTTTGTTTGCTGTCACCATACATTAATCAAGCCTGTCTCTGAACTTCATATACATGGAATTATACAATGGTCCTCTTTTGGTATGAAGATTCATCCATGTTGTTGCTTGCTAGTGCATGTTACCAGTAGTTCATTCTTTTCCATTTCTGTGTATCATTCCATTATATGAATATTATATAATACTCTATTCTTTTTTATTGGAGTTGATATACAATGTTTCACTAGTTGCAAGCGTACATATTCTTTTTTTTAATGTTTATTTTTGAGAGAGAGAGACAGAGCATGCACAGGGAAGGAGCAGAGAGAGGAAAAACACAAAATCTGAAGAAGGCTTCAGGCTTTGAGCTGTCAGCACAGAGCCTTATGTGGGACTTGAACCCATGAACCATGAGATCATGATCCAAGCTGAAGTTGGATGCTTAACCAACTGAGCCACCCAGGAGCCGCTATAATATTATCTTCTTAATGGACATCTACAATAGTTCAAATTTAGGATTACTATGAAGAAAGATGCTATGACATTAAAAAAAATTAACAGGAGAAACAATTCATGCTTGTGGATTGGAAAGAATCACTAATTTTAAGATGGCAATTGTCCCCAAATTGATTTAAAGACTCAATACAATCCCCTATCAAATTCCAAGTGGGCTTTCTCGCTCTCTCTTTTTTTTTTTAGAAACTGACAGGCTGATCCTATAACTTAGATGGAAATACAAAAGCCTAGGAGCCACAATATTTTGGAAAAAGAAGAACAAATTCAAGGACTAATATAGTTCCCAATTTCAAAACTTACAATAGAACTATAGTAATCAAGACAGTGCGGCACTAATATAAATGTAGACATGACTGATCAGTGGAATAGAATTGAGATTCCAAGGGGAAAATAAATTACATTTTTGGTCAACTGATTTTCAACAAAGGTGCCAAAGCAATTCAGCAGGGAAAAGATAATCTTTCCTTTCCCCAAATGCAAATCATGAATTTTGAAGCTCACTTCACACCATACATAAAAATTAACCCAAAATGCGGCGCCTGGGTGGCTCAGTCGGTTAAGCATCCAACTTTGGCTCAGGTCATGATCTCACGGTTCGTGGGTTCGAGCCCCACATCGTGCTCTGTGCTGACAGCCAGCTCAGAGCCTGAAGTCTGTTTCACATTCTGTGTCTCCCTCTCTCTCTGACCCTCTCCTGCGCACGCTGTCTCTCCCTCTCTCTCAAAAATAAAAACATTAAGAAAAATTAAAATGGATCATGGATTTAAATGTGAGATCTAAAGCTACAAGATAGGAGAAAATCTTCATGACCCTGGTTCAGGCAAAGATTTGTTAGCTATGACACTATATGCATGATTCATGATTCAAATGAATTCAAATGAAAATGTTTAACGAAATGATTAATGAGTCATTCAAATGAAAAAATTAATAAACTGGATATTAATCAAAATCAAAACCTGTTTTTTAATTCAAAAAGAAAATTACAAAAATAAAAATGGTAAGCATTTCACCAAAGATATACAAAGAGCCGATAAGTACATGAAAAGATGCTGACATCATTAGTTGTTAGGGAAATGCAAAAATAAAACCACAATGAGATACATATATCCAGCCTTTTCAAAAGTTCACATTATGCCACTTTGCTTTTATGAAAAGACCTATGTCAGTACCTGTTTTTACTAAGCAAAGGAAATCTGAAAAGGATTTTCACTTTTACAAAAAAAGGTGAAAAGTGAAAATAGCTGTCAGTGTTCATTCTGCAGCCAACTGTCGGAGACACCGCATGACACCGCACCCTGAGCAGCAAGAGTGGCTCTGCCAGGCTCTTTCCGTGGGACTGTCCTCAGCATCTCAGCTTCAAGCTACTGCAGCTCTGAAATGTGTCTGTGCACATCTATACCTTATCCCCATGTATTCTGTGCATCCATTAGCAAGATGTGTCCTAAGGTATTAGAAAAACCTAGCGTAGATTATTTTGGGGGTCTGGGAAAGCTCCAAAAATTTTCCATCTAAGTTAACTGTAATTGCTTCTTTGCTTTACAACTTATGAAAGGTCTCATAAGAATGCTCTACTTTCAGACAGAGGGAGAAACCTGTACTATTACTGACTAAATCAGAAGACAGGCTGTACCAACTGCATAAAGAATGTATTGCAACTGGAACTCTCATACTTTTATAGGTAGGAATGTAAAATGATTCAAATCACTCTGGGAAAGTCTGTCAGTTCCTTAAAAAGTTACACATACACCTATCATATGGCCCAGCCATTCCACTTGTAAGTATTTACCCAAAAGAAATGAAAGTGTATGTTCAAACAAAGACTTCTATATGAACTTTCATAGCAGTTTTGTTTGGAATAGCCAAAACCGGAGGAAAAACTACCAAATGTCCATCAACAGATGAGTAAGTTGTGCTATGTCCATACAACGCAATACTACTCAGCAATAAAAAGGACTGAACTATCAAAACACACAACAAACAACATACAAGAATCTCAAACTAATTATGCTGAGTCAAAGAAGCTAGGACCAAAAGTCAACATACCATATGATGCCACTTACATAACATTCTAGAATATACAGACTAATCGAGTGACAGGAAACAGATCAGCAGTTGCCTTGGGCTGAGTAAAGGATGTGAAGTGGCTAGAGGAAGAGATTACAAAGATGCTCAAAGAAACTACCAATGATGATGAATATGTTCATTATATTTGATACAGGTCAAAATTTATCAAAGTCCACATTAGAGATAAATTCAGTTTGTTGCATGTTGATTATACATTAGTAGAGCTGAAAAAGAAATGGATCTCAGGACAAAGAGAAAACAAAAAGAACTGTTATGTGGTTATTATAATTCTCCAGGCAAGAGGCAGTAGTGGCTTGGACTGGGATGGAACCTATTGAGGTAGAAATGCGAGTAGATAACTTTAAAGTTTATTAGAATACAAAATTGGCAATACTTTGTTGATCTAATGGACATTGGCAATTGAAGGAAAGGAAGCAATCAAGGACAACTTTTATTTTGGTGTAAGCAGCTGAGTGAACAGTAATGTCATTTACTAAAATGAGGAATACTGGGATAGGATTACAAAGTCAAGGTTTCTCACCACGATTACCGAGAGTGATTCAAACTGGTTTTACAAGTTTAATGGATTTTAAAACAATGAACCAGGATTTATATACAAACACCTAGAAAATAAAAGTGGGGCACTGATTAACTACCAGAAATATGAAAAATAAATTAATGTGTTTATGATACAGAAAAAGAACTAGTAATTCATGGATGTTATAAAACAAATGCAAACACCTTGGCTCAGAATATATTTTTTTAAATAAATGAAAGGTAGATGTGCACATTAGAAAATAAGTACTTAAAACTATTTTAATTAGATGATCATTTAACTTCCAGCATTTTTTTCCTAGAAGTATTACTTAGGTTTGTCTACATTTCTAAAAATATGTGTCCATTAAAATTGAATTGATAACTCAAAGAAAGAATGCTGTAGCTTCTTTATTTCCTTCAAAACACTTTGCTTACTGGGATGCCTGGCTGGCTCAGTTGTTAGAGAATGAGACTCTTGATCTCGGGGTTATAAGTTTAAGCCCCATGTTTTGTGTAGAGATTATGTAAAAACTTTAGAAAAAAATTCTTTGCTTACCTGTTTAATCTGTCAAATAATGACCCAAATTGTGCTGTTTTATATGATGGACTGAGAACATCTTGACTTTCATTTAATTTGGAAACCAAAGTATTAGAATAATTTACTTTACTGAGCTGAAAAAAGAAAGAAGAACTTGCCAACATGGTAAACATACGTATATATATACAGTTTAAATTATTTACCATAAAATACATCTAAGTGGATATCTATATGCAAAAAAAATGTCTTTTCTGGTTTAAAAGAAAGTAATTGTGTCCTTATTGAAAACAAACGTGTGCTAACAATGAAAGCCAATACCACTATTTAAACAACTGTTAAAACAACAAAACTTAGGGGCGCCTGGGTGGCTCAGTTGGTTGAGTGTCCAGCTTCGGCTCAGGTCATGATCTCACGGTTCATGGGTTTGAGCCCCGCGTCGGGCTCTGTGCTGACAGCTAGTTCAGAGCCTGGAGTCTGTCTTCGGATTCTGTGTCTCCCTCTCTCTGAACCTCTCCTGCTCACACTGTCTCTCTCTCTCCAAAGCTAACCGTTTTTTCAGAGGTTAAAAAATATATATCTTATATACCCAGGATACCAGGATCTTGAGCAAATTATCTCTGACAGAAAACAATTTTTCCCAAAAAATAATAGCTGTACTTATCTCAGTTTTTTCCATTTACTGAGTAATTTTAGAATGCTACTTTAATCTTTCTGAGTATCAGTATGATTGAGTACAAAATGGGGAAGGTATGGAAAAACTTGTGGAAACCAGAGGAGGTAATCAAAGTGTTAATATGGATGGTACCATATAATGTATATTACAGTGACCCAACAGAATCTATACAGTAATAATAATTTGTATTTGTAGCATATTTTATTTATTAGCCATGAAACAAAGAAATGAGAAGTCCAAAGACAACCAATGACAGAAAGTCAGGGAAAGAAAAAAGAGAAAACAAAAGAGATACTCAAAGTCTTATAAAAAGTAGAAGTCTAAAGTCAGGGAGAGCTAGAGGTAAAGTCTGGAAATACATTTCACATCTCAGTTTCAGAGAAACACTGACAGAAATGCAGAGACAAAGTCATCTCATGAAGTGAGAAACACACAAACAGACCAAAAGAGAAGAGAATACTATATGTTGGCCCTATACTACTTCTCTACGGACCAGAGAGCCAAAGCCTGCTTTTTCTTCTAATCTGTTTTTTCAACTTTTTTGTGTTTTATAGTTTCATTTTAATTCTTCTCATTTTTTTTGAAACCTCTCCAAAGAAGCAATTAAAGACTTCTCTACTACTTCACAATGTGACACTACATCTTGGACAGGAACATTAGCCTCTCTTTTTAATTTTCTCTTCTGGGTATTAAGTATAACATTATTTACCCCTCTGGAGATAATCACTAACCTGGAGCCTAAAAATAGAAGATTATTTAAGTAGAGATTACAGAGAGTTTTATTCTCTATCCCATAATCTATCTAGAATGTAAATTTTAGTCTTATAAAATATAGACTGAATAACTAAATGGTTTTTATTGTATCATTCCAAAGTTAATGGGTCCTTAAATTAGTAAGGCTAACATATATCACTGGAATATAGAACTTCATTTTCTCTTCTCTGAAAAACAGAAAACATACTTTAATAAATACTTAAATAAAACTGAATATCATTATAGATTATATATAACAAATATATAACTATAATATATAAAATTGCAATTACAAATTTATAAATTATAAATTCATTTATAAGTGACAGGGACAGAAATATAGCATAAATCCAGTGCATGCTATAAATGAGAGAAAGTAAAAACTAAATATTCCCATTAACAAGACATCATGTTTATATATCCATTTTCCCCACTACCACTATACATTAGTATAATAATAATTTTATATTTTTTAAACTCTGTATGATCTAACAAAATAACTCCTCCTATGGCCTATGGCAGATATATTTCATAATTTTAAAATCTGGATGTGTTTAGATTTTAATTTTGGAGAATTCAATGACTGAACATTTTAGCACTATACATTTAGCTATACAAAAAGATTTGTATAGTTTAAATTCAAGTGCACATAAACAGCTGTCATCTGCCAAATCATAAAAAGAATCAAGCCATCACAACTTGTACTTTAATGGATTACCATGACACTACTGAGATTATGTACTGGTCTTCATACAGCCCTTTCCATATCATACATACTGGGCCACCATTACATCACCAATGAGCCATTCACTGTGATTACAATCAACTATTATATATCCATACTGAACTATTTTCAATTTCCATCAATAATTCTATAAAAGGATGATGATTTCAAATATTTTTAAAGAACATTCCAGTTTTTGTTTTTTTTGTTGTTGTTGTTTTTTTGTTGTTTTTTTTTTTTAATGTTTTATTTATTTCTAGGAGAGAGAGAGACAGCGTGAACAGGGGAGTGTCAGAGAGAGAGGGAGTCACAGACTGAAACAGGCTCCAGGCTCCGAGCTGGCAGTCAGCACAGAGCCTGACACGGGGCTCGAACCCACGAACCGCGAGATCATGACCTAAGCGAAAGTCGGACGCTTAACGGACTAAGCCACCCAGGCGCCCCAGAACATTCCAGTTTTTGGATTCATAATCTTCTACAGTGCAGACAATTAAATTTTGACCAAAGAGGAATTATCATACCTAACTGACATCTACTTTGGCTATATCAATAGCAATTCACAAAAATAAATTAATGTGTTTATGACACAGAAAAATCCATTATTTTTTATATCCATTAGAACAGAAAAAAAGAGAGTATCAAAGAATACAATCATATAAAATGCTAAGACTAGTGATTCAAATGTACCTTCTCATTCTGCTTTTCTTCATAGGCAACTTTCTGAAGACTAGGTGATGTTCTGGGAATGAAATTTTGGTTTGTAAGATTTCTGTTAGAAGATAATTCTGCTGCAAAGGATGATGGAGTGAAACTGCAATTTTCTGTTCTGTTGAACTGAGGTTCGAGCATACTTTGTGAGTCCATGACTTGTGACAACTATAGGAAAAGAAGATACAACCATTTGATTTGCCAAAATATATAAACTAGAAAAGAGGAAAGTCAAATAGAAGTGGAAAAGGTCATGGACTGCAGAAAAAGTTCCAAGGAAAAGCAAGTCATCAGTAGTTAACAGGACTTATTAAGACAAGAGAGGTTAAGACATGATAGGTTATCAACTAAAATTATACTTAAGAGTTCCTTTCCATCTGCCTTTCTTACTACTGATCCCCTCCACCTCAAATTTCATGCCGTCTCCAAATGACAGGAAATTTGAGTTTCACTGACCCACAATTCAGGTAAAAAATATTTCCAAAAGATCTTGGCATCACTGCCATTCTCCTATGTAGTTTAATCTTGGCAATCCAAAGCAAAGAAAGGATAATAATGTAGCATTGGTTCTTAAAATTTCAAGCTTTAATCACAATCTATACATTTTCTAATTGACTAAAATTTTATTTGCTACAAAAAATAATTTGCAACACACCGAAAGAAAAATAATCTTGGGATCAGTGTAAACACTGAGAATAATTTGATATAAAATAATCCAGTCCCTATACTAGAAGAGATGAGTTTCTCAGTTTATCACATTAACCCAAAGCAGGAATTAGCAAATGAGTTAACCTTTGCAGCTCATCAGTAACAAGCAGAATCAAATATTATATACACACAGGCCCAATCTACATTACTAGGACGCCAAAGGGTTCCTCATAAGCGATCAGTTAAAATATTCTTAAGGTATAATTTCCTTACATTAAAAACTTTAAAAATAATTTCAAAGACTATAAAAAAATTTTTTAAGGATAATTTTCCCTGATATTTAAAAAATTTATATCATTTGGTGATATGTCACAATTGTTAAACTTAAAAATTTCTGTTTTAAATCTCACCTGAACTGGGGCAAGTTCTACTGGGGCAAGTTCTTTCTTGTTGCCTAGTCTTTGACAGTATATGCAAATGAAAAGATAATGTTAAAGTTAAAACAACTGGCAATAAAGTTGACTATCACTTTTTCTATATATTTAAAATTCATACAGTTGTATACAAATACACAAAAACATATAGAACTCTAAATCATTCTCTAATTTTATAAAAATTGTATTATTAGTTGATAAACATTTTCAGATAAGGAAAGTCAAACTACACATATAAAATACTTAGTATAAACACAAGCTCATTTGATACACTGTTAACAGCCAAAACAAAAAAAAAAAAAACAAAAAAACAAGTAGAAGAATAAATCCTTTGTACATTTTCCAATGAATCAAAGAGTACTGATGATGACCTGTTTAAATAACTAAATAATATACAACCTAGATAACACCTACTTGTTTTCTAGATCATCAATGCAGAGCTTAGATGGTACACAGTGAGGTGACATTGGAAGTTCTAAATCATGCTTTCTTATGGGCATTTTTATATCTCTATGCATATTCACATGGATTGGTTTTCTCACAGTTTCTGTAATGAAAAAAATTATAATTATAATAAGAAATAAGAAGAAAATCTTTTAAAAACAATGTTTGATATACAATGTCATTAAATAAATGTATATTTTAGAAATCTACTAAGACCACCTATATTCTATATATGCTACAAGTCATTACAGCACTAAAAACTTTCACAAGTAATTCACATCATCGCTTTTTCTTCATTATCTTACATAGTCCTCACAAAAAGGGCAATAATTCAGTTCTATTGTTTTCTTCTTCCAAAAATTCCTTGACCCCCAAACTATATCAGATGCTTTATAATACATGCCCATACGACTACATATGTTGTCTATTATAGCCCTTACAACAGTTTATTATACTTCATTAACTCTCTCTCAATAGACTTTTTTTAAAGTGCACTGCAGGGCTCGATCTCACAACTGTGGGATCATCACCTGACCCAAAACCAAGAGTCAGGCACTCTTAGGGCACCTGGGTGGCTCAGTTGGTTAAGCATGCTCAACTAACTGAGCCATTCAGGTGCCCCTAGATTTTTGAACTCTATAGAAACATAAGCCTTTCCTCTCCTTATACAAGATACTACTATTTGGTCTGCTCAGTACTTTTAACTACTTTCCTTTTCTGAAAAATGCTTTTTTTACACATCCAACAACTATATAGTTTTCATAGGGAACTTCCATATTCTTATAAAACCCTGTCTCCAGAAAAAAAATAACTGATTTAGGAGCATCCACCTGACCCAAGATGAATCAATAATAGGATCATATCCCTGTGTTTACAAATAATTGTTCCAGTGCTAGGACCTGGCAGCAGCAGGTCAAGGTAATATCCTTCCAGTAAAATTTAAAAACTCAGAACCAAGAAACAACTCTCAGTGTTTCCCTTGTGGCATAACAGGAGAGATGAACAATATTAGTTTTTTAACGTCAAGTTTTAAGCCTAAATTAAAAAGACAATCTGAGAGAATTAAGTTAATATCTAAAATGAGAAAAAAAATCTTGATGATATTCAAGTCCCTGATTCTAGCAGGCTCTTAGGCCCAGCAGCACTATTGCCCTTCCCTTTAGTAAACTGTCTTAGTCCATTCAGCCTGCACTACCATAATACCATAGACTGGGTGGCTATAAACAACAGAAATTAATTTCTCAGTCTGGAAGCTGGGCAGTCCAAAATCAAAGTGTTCTCAGATTCAGGGTCTGGTGAGAGCCCGAATCCTGGTTCACAAACAGCTGTCTCCTCACTATATCCTCACACAGTAGAAAAAGCAGAGAGCTCTCTGGAGAATCCTTATAAAAGCACTAATTCCATTCATGAGGGCTCCACCATCATGACCTAATCACCTTCTAAAGGCCCCACCTCCTAATACCATCACTAATAAATTTTTGTTTTTGTATGGAAGGGAAAGTATCTTTTTCCTCTATTCTTCTAAATTCTCAGCTAGGGACTCTATAACAGAAGACAAATAAAACTCTTCACTTGTAAATAAATTTTAAATGGAAACCTTCATAAAGAAATGGAGACCCAAAGAAGTGGTTAGACCTGAGCATTTATATGCTAGGTTTGATGAAGAGTGGAAAGTAGTAGGAAAATGTGATTGAACAAAAAAGGGTGTGAACTAAGTGAAGCATAAAATACGTTCCTCAGAAACAGCAAGGCTTGTTTGTTCAGATTGCTCTCTGTGTCCTTCTGTCTTGGAGATAAAGATGTTCCTTTCCTCAAGGTACAGGGAGGATAGTTCTCACATGAGAATCCTTCCTGTGTCCATGCTTCTTGTCAAATTCCTTCTGCTTAGAATAGTCAGTATGCCAAGGTGCCTTATTTTGGGGCAGTGTGTCCTGACTCCATCGCTTTTTACTGTATTCCCAGCATCCAATACACTACTTATGGTAAGTACTCAATAAATGTGTTGAATGTATAAATGAAAAGAAAGTGAAGGAGAAAGGGAATATATGAAGGTAAATACATCGTTGAACAGCCCCATGAAAAAGAAACTGGTCCCCTATCTTACACCATACACAAATTTAACTCAAAATGGATTAAAAAGTTGAACATAAGACCTAAAACCATAAAACTCCTAGAAGAAAACCTAAGAGGTAAGTTCCTTTACATCAGTATTGGTAGTGATTTTTTTTGGATTTGACACCAAAGCAAAGGCAACAAAAGCAAAACAAACATGAGCAACTATAACTAAAAAGCATGGAGCTAAAATGTATTATGTTAAGTGAAATAAAGTCGATCAGAGAAAGACAAATACCATATGATTTCACTCATATGTGGAATATAAGAAATAAAACAGATGAACATATGAGGGGGGGAAGAAGAAGAGAGAGGGAAACAAACTACAAGAGACTCTTAACAACAGAGAACAAACTGAGGGTTGATGGAGGGATGTGGGTGAACAATGGGTATTAAGAAGGGCTCTTGTTTGGTGTTGGGAGAACTGGACAGCAACATGCAGAAGAATGAAACTAGATCATTTTCTCACACCATACACAAAAATCAACTCAAAATGGATAAAGGACCTGAACGTGAGACAGGAAACTATCAACACCCTAGAGGAGAAAGCAGGAAACAACCTCCTTGACCTCCACCGCAGCAACTTCTTACTTGACACATCCCCAAAAGCAAGGGAATCAAGAGCAAAAATAAACTGTTGGGACCTCATCAAGATTAAAAGCTTCTGCACAGCCAAGGAAACAACCCAGAAAATTAATAGGCAACCAACGGAATGGGAAAAGATAGTTGCAAATGACATATCAGATAAAGGGTTAATATCCAGAATCTATAAGGAACTCACCAAACTACACGCCCGAAAAACAAACAACCCAGTGAAGAAATGGGCAGAAGACATGAACAGACACTTCTCCAAAGAGGACATCCAGATGGCCAACAGACACATGAAACGATGCTCAGCATCCCTCCTCATCAGGGAAATACAAATCAAAACCACACTGAGATACCACCTCACGCCAGTCAGAGTGGCTAAAATGAGCAAATCAGAGAACTCTAGATGCTGGCGAGGATGTGGAGAAACGGGCACCCTCCTACACTGTTGGTGGGAATGTAAACTGGTACAGCCCCTCTGGAAAACAGTGTGGAGGTTCCTCAGGAAACTAACAATAGAACTCCCTTATGACCCAGCAATAGCACTGCTAGGAATTTACCCAAGGGATACAGAAATGCTGAGGCATAGGAGCACATGTACCCCAATGTTCATAGCAGCACTCTCCACAATAGCTAAAACATGGAAAGAGCCTAAGTGTCCATCAACAGATGAATGGATCAAGAAGATGTGGTTTATCTATACCATGGAATACTACATGGCAATGAGAAACAATGAAATCTGGCCATGTGTAGCAACATGGATGGACCTTGAGGGTGTTATGCTGAGCGAAATAAGTCAGGCAGAGAAGGACAAATATCATATGTTTGCACGTATAGGAGGATTAGGAGGAACTTGACGGAGGAACAAGCGGGAGAAGAAGGGCGGAAATGGTGGGGGAAAGGGAGAGAGGCAAACCATGAGAGACTCTTGAATGCTGACAAAAACTGAGGACTGATGGATGTGGGGGGGAGGGGGGGATGGGCATGGAGGAGGGCACTTTGGGGATGAGCACTGAGTGTTATGTAGAAACTAATTTGACAATAAACTATTTGTAAAAAAAAAAAAAAAAAGTATAGGGGTGGAGAGGAAGAATATTAAACACCAGTTATAAAAGGAAAATAAAAAAAAAAAAAAAAAAGAAGGGCTCTTGTTGTGATGAGCACTGGGTAGCATATGCAAGTGATGAATCACTGAATTCTACTCCAGGAACCAATATTGCACTGTATGTTAACTAAAATTTAAATTAAAACAAATAAACATCACCAAAAAAATGAAGAAGCTTCTGCGAGGCAAAGAAAATCTTTCCCAAAATGAAAAAACAAACTATGGAATGGGAGAACATATTTGCAAATCATATATCTGATACGGGTTCAGTATGCAAACTATATAATGAACTCATACAACTCTTAGCAAAAAATGAACAATCTAATTTTGTAAATGGGCAGTGAAACTGAATAGACATTTTTCCAGAGAAGACATACAAAAGGCCAACATCTACATGAAAAGGTTCTCAACATCAGGTAACTTCAGGAAGATGCATATCAAAACCACAATGAGATTATCACCTCACAAAATGATTAGGCAAGAGATTAACAAGTGCTGGCAAGGATGTGGAAAAAGGGAACTTTTGCACACTGTTGGTAGGAATGTAAATGGATGGAGCTACTATGGTGAACATAATATATGTTCCTCAAAAAATTAAAAGTAGAACTACCACAAGACTATACTTTCAGAGATCATTTCTATAGTTCGTTACTAGAGAAGTTTCTCTGAACGTGTAGAGTAACCAAAAGTAGAACTACCATATGACTCAGCAATCCCACCTCTGAGTATATGTCTAAAGGAAATGAAAGGAGAATCAGATGATGATACCTGCAATCCCATGTTCAAAGAAACATTATTCACAATGGCCAAGATATGGAAACATGCTCAATGTGTGTCAATGGATGAATGGATAAAGATGTGGTATACACATATGACAAAATATTCTTCAGCCGTAAAAATGAAGGAAATCCAGCCATTTGTGACAACTTGGATGGACCTTAAAGGCATTATGTTAACGGAAATAAGTTAAGAGAAAGACAAACAATGCATGGTATCACCTACATATGGAATCTTTAAAAAAAAAAAAAAAAAAGTCAAGTTCATAGAAACGGGGAATAGAAAGGTGATTGCTGGGGGCTGGGGACTGCGGAGTAGGGGAAATACAGGTTTGCAGAGGGTGTAAACTTCCAGCTATAAGATGAATAAGCTCTGAGGATCTAATATAAAAGGTGACTGTGGCTCATAACACTGTACTATATTAAGCGAAGAAAAAGAAGGTAAATACATCAAACAGATTTACAACAAAAACTTTTATTGCTAAAGTGCATAAATAACATGTTTGCTTCTAAAGTATAACTAAATTTCCTTATATAAACTGTCATCTGCAGGGTAAGAAACAAGAAAGGAAAAGAAGAGATATTAACAGGATTTATGATCAATTTCTATCCTCCTTTATGAACAGTCTTATTTCGTAAGCTCTCATTTTAGCACTTATTTTGAAGATTAAATATTACACACAAATTCCCTTGAGAGAAAAATATGCCCTAAACTTTTTATTTACTTGAAGGCTCTAAATACGGGCAAAAATGAACTTTATTTTGAAGTATTAGACTACTTACAGTTAACACTCCAAGAATGCCTAAGACATTATTCAAGTTGTGATATAGGAAACTAATCATTAAGGCAAAAATCTTTTTCAGTGTCTCTTTTCAAACAAATCTCTAAATACTTTAAGATAGTAAAGACGTGTAGTTCCCGCTCTTAAGCTAAACTTTGGTAACTATCTGCCTAGGCAGACTAATGAAGTAACTAAAACAACTGCAATATAATAAGTTTGACCATATCTTATAAAATTAATTTTATAGAACACACAACTTAAAAATGAAAAGATTAAGCCACAAAAGATTTTAAGCAAAAATTAACAAAAGTACTAGTTTAAGAAGGCAACCAAGTTTTAAAATTAGTTTACTTTCCATATCTTTGAGTCCCAAAATTAGAAATTTATTAGAAAACTGAATGCTTTGATTACATTAGAGTCAAAACAAAATGCTAATGGAAAGACTTACCAGGTGTTTTCTTCTGGCAAGATATGTGATTTACCATATATAAGTTAAGGAGGTCTAAACTGACAGTGGAATTTTTGACAGGGGATAAAACCCCTAGTAATTTCATCTTTGATTTTAGCCTTTTCTTTTCAAAATATTCCTACAACAATTAAAAATAAAAGTTATTACAACATCCATATGGTTTTAGGCACAGTCATAAAAATAAAAAAGCAATAATGCTATTTAATAATTGACTTGACATTTTCATATTTTGATAATCCCTTTATATGTCTACATGTAAACTGAAATCAATCATGATGACTTACAATTTGCCCAAAAACTCTTAAATTTCACAGCCTCTTAAAATCTTTCTTTTTTAAACATAATGACTTTAAAACAGAACTTTATAAAGCCATTCCCTAGTATCAAAAGATTAAAAATTATCTGAAATACAGAAAAGTTGCCAATTTAATTCCCTTTGTTATCCTTCCATCACTTCTACTTTGCCATTAGCAAGAGTTGTCCTGTGGGGTGGACTGAGAGGTAAACAGGAGTTAAGAGTAAAGGGGGTAGCAGGAAAGGGAAAGGATCCAGAAAGGGAGCAAAATTTGTTTTAAAAGGAAAATTAAGTATGTTTTTTCAAATTTTTTCTTAATGTTTTATTTATTTCTGAGACACAGACAGACAGACAGACAGACAGCATGAGCAGGGAAGAGTCAGAGAGAGAGGGAGATACAGAATCTGAAACAGGCTCCGGGCTCTGAGCCACCTGTCAGCACAGAGCCCGATGCAGGGCTCGAACCCACGAACCATGAGATCATGACCTAAGCCAAAGTCAGACACTCAACCGACTGAGCCACCAAGGTGCCCCAGGTATGTCTGAATATCAATGTAAAGCCTCCAGCTGACAGTGACTGGTTGAGGATACAAGGAGAAAAATTAATTGATGTCATGAAGTCCCTGAGAAAGATTCCAGATGGCAGATTCTTTTGACTAGAGGAAACTATAATACTTCCATAGTCACAGAAGGGAAAGGGAAGATTAGTGAAGATACAAGATAGTTTACAGAACTGGTAGTAGAAATCTGAGATAATTCTCATCTGATACCTTCTATTTCCTCTGAAATATAAGACAAAGTCATCTAATGAGTATGAAGGGATTTAAAAATAAGGTTGGGGAAAAGTGCTTTAGGGAAGCATGACTTGTAAAGGGAAGATATTACATTATCAAAGAACAGAAAAGAAGCATAACTAGAGATCAACACTTTGGGGGAGAGCCATAGGTCTTCCCCTTTCTTATAAATATTCACAAGAATGATCCAGAGTTAGAATATTAAAAAAAAAAAAAAAAACTGAGGAGAGACTGTATATTCATGGTTTTATTACTGAGTGCCTACATTACTGCTTGTCACAATTTTAGGCAAAGGTGATATAAAACAAACAAAAGTAATAAAATCCCTCTCCTGATGAACATATGCTAATGAAGGTGAGGGACAATAGAATGAATAAACTTGAAAGAAAATACCAGATTATGAAAGAAAAGAGGGATGACAAAAAAGGGTCCTGGGGAGAAAGTAGTGAGTGGGGAACTACTGCTGTGATCAGAGAAAGCCTCTGTTAACAGGAGATACTTTGGCTGAAACACAAATGTTGATAAGCCAGGCATACAAATATCTTGAGGAGGAGTATTCCAGGTAAAGAGAAGAATGGCAGAAAGAAGGCCAGTCTAGCTAAACTACAATGAATACCAAGATTAGTAGTAAGAAAATCAGAGAAGTAGGCAAGATATAGATCCTTTAGATCCTTTGAGGCTATGGTTAAATCAGTATTGTTCTAAAAGCAGTGGCATGCCTTTTGTCCGGAGGCTGGCGGCACGGAGCTGATGGTCCTCAGGCAGAGCGATCATGTAGCACAAACAGATTTACTATTCGGACAAATACAACGAGGAGGAGTTTGAGTACCACACATCACGGTCCCCAAGGGCATAGCCAAGAGGGTCTCTAAAACCCATTTGATATCTGAACGTGAATGGAGGAATCTTGGCGTTCAGCAGAGTCAGGGATGGATCTATTACATGATGCACGAACCAGAACCTCACATCTTGTTGTTCCAGCAGCCGCTGCCCAAGAAGCCAAAGAAATGAAGCTGGCAGCCAACTTTCAGCCTCAGGCTTTCCACAGCTGTCCTCACTTGCTAACATCTTTCTGATAACATTTTTATGTTGCCTTCTTGTTTCTCACTTTGATACTGAAAGGATATTCAGACTCTTTGAATATGCTGGAGACTACTTCACTTGAGCAGAGCCAACAGCACCAGTCAGATGAGTGCTAGTTGAGCTGCAGCCTTGGGTGAGTGTGACCCCAGAAGCCACACGGAGCTCTACACGCAGAACACATTTGGTAGATGGAGGAAGCATCTAATCTAAGAATAAGGCCATGGCTGCTACAGGGATTGTGTAAACTTGCTCTGTTGTTTTTTCCTGCCAGGTATTATATGTATGGTGGCTTATGTGTCATTGTATTGAAAACTTTCCATTTTATTCAAGAAATCTATTCCATGTTTATAAGGCTTGATTAAAGAGGAAGCTTTTATAATCTAAAAAAGAAAATAATAAAATAAAAGCAGTGAAAAACAACTGAGGCTTTTAATCAGGGCAATGACAGATTCTGATTTGTGCTTTTAAAAGATCATACTAACTGCTACATGAAGAACAGACTACAAAGGAATAAAAGATAAAACAGAAAAAACATAAATTCAATTACATTAAAATTAAGAACTTTCCTTCAAAGACAGCATTAAGAAAGTAAAAATAAAAGCTACAGAGTACACATATAACCAATAAAAAATTCTAAATATATAAAGACAATAAGGAAAACACAACACAAATAAAAAAATGGAAAAACAAAAAACTTCAAAAAGTACTTCACAAAAGAGGAAACATGGATGAAAAGACAACCTCATTAGTAGTCAAGAAAATACGAATTAAATTTACAGTGAGACCATCTTACTAAGTTAATAACTATCCTGTTTTTATTATAATCAGTTCCTTGCTCTTCTTTAAATTTAGGAGCTTTGAATGTGTGTATGTGTGTGTGTGTGTGTGTGTGTGTGTGTGTATTTTGTTTTGGAACTTCTTGCAAACAGAATTTTACTGCTTACATTCTGTGACTTGCTTCATTTAATATTATGTTTTGGGGATTAATCTACATTAATTATACGTGGTTGATACATTTTCACTGCTATACCATTATTTGGGTATCCCACAATTTGTTTACTCACTCTATGGCTCATGGACATTTGGATGGTCTCCTTCCCACCCCATGCCTCTGCCCTTCTCTTCTTTTGCCTTCTCCTCTTTCTTTTTGCTACTTAACAATGATCCAAACAAGTCTGTACAGGTCTCAAAGTACACATGTGAAGAGTTTCTCTTGAATATATACTGCTCAGTTGTAAGACATATACATGTTCAACTTCATAAAATAAAATCAATGTAAGGAAAAAAACTAATAAAAAAGATAGGAAACAGGTTATAAGGTCATCGTTATACTCTAGGCAATAAATTATTTGAATTGGGGTACTCCTAGCACAGGTAGTGAGATGTGATCAGACCTGGGATATTTGCTGGAACTAGAATCAACAATGATCTTTAGGTATCTGCCTGAGCAAAACGGTTGGCTATTCAAGCTATCTACAAGAACAGAGAAAACTAGACAGTCTTCCAGTTACGTAGGTGAATTTATTAACCTTTGCAAAATATTTCAGGAGATCGCTGTTCTCATAGGGCTAATATAAATAAATATATATTTTCTTTACCTTTTGCTTTCTCTTTTCCTGCTTGATCAGAACCCTGGTACTGAAAAAGGAAGTAAAACAAAAAACATAATGGTTAAAAAATAGTTTCTTAAATGATTGCGATTTTAGTTGAAGACTTAAAATTAAATATTTTCTGAAAAGAAAACTATGAAAATGTTATTTATAGCATATACTGTTTCACAAAATTTTCTTAGAAAATCCAAGAAATCATAAAATAGACTAACTTCTAACAAAAAGCATTTTAAAAATCTGAATTATAGAATCAATATAAGTAAAGAGAAAGCAATGCCTTGGAAAAGATGTATCCCTGAAACATTCAAATCTGATAGCAATATTCTTGGTCAAAATTGCTATTTTCTTGCCTTTCCTTGTATTTCAATATTCTACTAAAATCAAGAGGTATTAAAGAAAAGATCAAAAAATATATATGACCTAAGGAAATGTTAAGTTTATTGTTCGAGCAACTTGAGTTATAATGTATCAGCTAATTGTTTCTGAAATCAACTTCTTTAAAAAAAAAAAAATAGCTAGTAATTATAGATGCACCTTATACCTATGATCTTTTTGTTAAACACTGCACTAAATCCCAGTGACAGTACAGTATTTAACTGTTACTAAAATATTTGTTCTTTTAGTAATACTGTAATGCTATAAAACATTCATGACAAAACAGGCAGATCTGCACAATATAGCTTTTGGATATACATGAAACTAGGGTCTCAAACTCAAGACTTGTGCAAGAATTATAAGTAAAATAGTCAAAGATTTCCTAGCTATATGAAATTATAATAACATGAAAATAATACCTGCTAATAACAAATACCATATATCTTGTACCACTCTAAATACTGTGGATACTTTACATGTATAAACTCATCTTATCTTCACAGCAATTCCATAAAGTAATATCTATTTTTATCCCCACTTTACTGATAGAGAAACTAAGACAAAGAGGTTAAGTAATTTGTCCAACGTCACACTGCTAATAAGTGGTAGAACCAGGATTCAAACACAAGAATTCTGATTTTCAAGTGTTTTTTTTATTAATCTTTATTTATTTTCAGAGAGAGAGAGAGAGAGAGAGAGACAGAACACGAGTAAGGGAGGGGCAGAAAGGGAGACACAGAATCTGAAGCAGGCTCCAGGCTCTGAGCTGTCAACACAGAGCCTGACACAGGGCTCAAACACAGAATCTGAAGCAGGCTCCAGGCTCTGAGCTGTCAACACAGAGCCTGACACAGGGCTCAAACTCACAGACCATGGCCTGAGCCGAAGCTGGACACTTAACCAACTGAGCCACCTAGGTGCCCCCTGATTTTGAAGTTTTTAACCAGTTCACTACACTACTTTCCAAGTACGTCAACTGTGAATACATACACAAAGCTGTTCATTTTTCCAAAGAACATTTTTCCAAATTTTAATAAACTACATGAATGACAGTTACTGAATACCCTCATACTTTGCCACTTATTGAACTTGTTCTTTCGCATATTTTTCAATAGCTATGTGTTAACTGACCATTTTAAACTCATTGATCAAAGAATCTATTCTATTCTGTTCTATGCAGCATAAGTGCACTGCTGGCATTCAAATTTTAGAGAAAAAAAAGGAAAATAAATTACATTTCATTGGCATCTCAAATGTTAAGTTTGGAGAGGACCATAGAGATTAGTTTATTCTCCATCATTCTAAAATTTACAAAAATTTGCGCAGAGCAAAAGAGACTTTTCAAAGTCCAGAAATATAAAAAGTATGACAGAGCCAGCAATAATATTAAGCATTTCAGATTATAAACAGATAATAAAAAGAAATATCAATTCTATCAGCAGTTCTCACATTATGAAAATCAGCAGAATTAGGAACAAGTTCAAAATCTAAATACAGTCTTTATATATGTATAGATCGAGTGCTTTTATTCCAGGCTGATTTTCTGTTATCCAGGACACTTATGGCTCTCACTGAATCCTTTGTACTACATAATCCCCATCACTATGTGCCTAAGAAAAGTCCATTAGGAACTCAAGACCAGCTCCTAGATCAGCCTACTAATCACTAGACCATAGTGAAAGTGAAAAAGGATCCTGATGTAGAAGTCAAAGGTAATTTCTTAAATAGGACATTTTAGATTGTTATGAAGGAAACCTATGCTACTAAACAGTATCTAAATGTTTTACTGAATATAATCACTCTCAATTAGCTGCACTAAAGAAAAACATTGCATCAATTAGGATTCTTAGTTACAAGAAACTGAAAGCCCCTTTGGTTAATTTAAACAAAATAAATGTATTAAAAGGAAACTGGGTAGCCAACAGACCTAGCAAGAAGGCTGAGAAAGCAGATTTGGCAACCAGTAGGAACAAGAAATCGAGGCTGCTGTGAGGTCACAGTCAAAATCATGCCATAATTAGTTTCATAAGGACACCACTGCTGACACTGGTCAACACTGGACACCACTGACTATACTGTTACCAAAAACCCAAGTTTGGCTGCCTGTCACTTGAAAAGCCAATACTTAAAAGAGTTTTGATTGGAAAGGAATTTGAGCTTTATTCAGGAGTCTGGCCACCAGGGAAGAAGGTAGACTCCTGCACAAAAAGCAACTCCAAGATTTCTGCCTGACGTAAAGATTTTTAAAGGACTTCAGGGGGGGCACCTGGGTGGCTCAGTCGGTTAAGTGTCCCACTTTGGCTCAGGTCACGATCTCACAGTTCGTGGGTTCAAGCCCCGCATCAGGCTCTGTGCTGACAGCTAACTCAGAGCCTGGATTCTGCTTCGGATTCTGTGTCTCCCTCTCTCTCTGACCCTCTCCTGCACACACGTGTGCTCTCTCTCTCTCTCTCTCTCTCTCTCTCTCTCTCTCTCTCTCTCTCAGAAATAAATAAAACATTAAAAAAATTTTTTTAAATAAAGGACTTCAGGGCAGTTAATGAGTAAAAGAAGAAATCTGCAAATATCTGGTCAATTAATCTTTGACAAAGCAGGAAAGAATATGCAATGGAAAAAAGTCTCTTCAGCAAATAGTGTTGGAAAACTGGACAGCAACCTATAAAAGAACAAAACTAGAGGTGCCTGGCTGGCTCAATCAGTATACCATGTGACTTTCCATCTCACAGTCATGAGTTTAAGCTCTATTTAGGCATGGAGCAAAAAAAAAAAAAAAAGAGAGCTAAAAGTTTTTTTTTTTTTTAAATATGAAACTGGACCACTTTCTTACACTGTACACAAAAATAAATTCAAAATGGATTAAAGACCTAAATGTGAGAAAGGAAACCATCAAAATCCTAGAGTAGAACAAAGGCAGCAACCTCTTTGACATCAGCTATAGCAACTTTTTACTAGATATGTCCCCTGAGGCAAGAGAAACCAAAGCAAAAATAAACTATTGGGACTTCATCAAAATAAACAGCTTCTACACAGCATAGGAAACAAACAACAAAACTAAAAGGCAACCTACAGAATGGGAAAAATATTTGCAAATGACATATCTGATAAAACATTAGTATCCAAAGCCTATAAAGAACCTATCAAATTCAACACCCAAAAAACAAACAATCCAGTTAAAAAATGGACAGAAGACATGAACAGACATTTTTCTAAAGAAGACATGCAGATGTCCAACAGACACATGAAAAGATGGTCAACATCACTCATCATCAGGGAAATACAAATCAATATACAAGGAGATATCATCTCACACCTGTGAAATGGCTAAAATTAAGAACATAAAAAACAACAGGTATTGGTGAGGATGTGGAAAAAGGGGACCCTCCCCTACACTGTTGGTGGAAATGCAAACTGGTACTGTGGAATATGATATGAAGGTTCCTCAAAAAGTTAAAAATAGAACTACCCTACAACCCAACATTTGCACTACTAGGTATTTACCCAAAGACTACAAAAATACTAATTTGAAGGGATACATGTACCCCAATGTTTATAGCAGCATTATCAACAATAGCCAAATTATGTAAACAGTCCAAGTGTCCACCAATTGATGAATGGATAAAGAAGAGATTGTATACACACACACACACACACACAAATGGAGTATTACTCAGCCATAAAAAAAGAGAATAAAATCTTGCTATTTGCAATATGTGGATGGAGCTAGAGAGTATTACACTAAGCAAATAGAGAAAGACAAATAACCAATGATTTCACTCATACATGGAATTTAAGGAACAAATGATCAAAGAGAGAAAAAAAGAAAGAGGAAAACTGAGAAACAGACTCTTAATTATAGAAAACAAACTGATGGTTACCAGAGTGGAGGTGGGTGGGGGGATGGGTTAAATAGGTGATGGGGATTCCAGAAAGAACTTGTGAGGAGCACCAGGTATTTTACAGAACTGTGGACTACTATATTGTACACCTGAAAATAATAGTATGCTTTATATTAAGCGACTGGAATTTAAATAAAAACTTTAAAAAATTAAATTTAAAAATTTTAATTTTTTTAAAAAATCAGTAAAAGAGGACACAGTGGTAACACTTCTTGAATGCTTGCAGATTCAATGGTGCTAGCTACAAATATTATTGTGGTGGTTGGAGGTTGTGCAAGAGGGTTTGGTTCTGAGTCTTTCTAGGAAACCATGAATGATCTATAATAGGCAAAGAAAGGTTTAGTTAATCATGCAGGCTACTAGGTTGGCCAGGAGGCCAAAGTGGCTTCATCCCCTCCACTCATGAACAGTAAATAGAACCTCCTTCTGGCATCACTGACATTACTGCCTCTGAAAATTCAATCCTGCTGCAGCGCCTACAGCTGCCTGCAACTACAATAGACGCTCTGTGTTCCTTTAGGTCAGTAACTGCTAATTCAAAGTACAGGACAAGTGCATCAGAGTCTGAGCTCAGATCATGTGCCCATTCCCTAGCTGCAAAACAGACTGAAACAAGTATCTGGGTTTGTTTTGCTCTGTTTTGGTTTCCTCTATAGAGGAAGGTGGCCTATGCCTAGCACCAAAATTCATAAGGTGGGAAAATATCCCACATGCAGACAAGTGGCTCAGATGCTGGGCTGTCAAAGACTGCAAACAT